CCATCCTTAGTCACCACGTGACCTAGGAATGCAACATTATCTAGCCAAAATTCACACTTCTTGAATTTAGCAAACAGCCTCTCCCTTCTCAACGTCTCGAGGACTGTCCTCAAGTGCTTCTCATGAAGAGCATGGCTAGAAGAGTAGACCAAAATGTCATCGATAAAAACAACCACAAACTGGTCTAGGTACTTGCCAAATACCCGATTCATCAAATCCATAAATCTAGCAGGGGCATTTGTCAAGCCAAATGGCATGACTATGAACTCATAGTGACCATAACGGGTGCGAAAGGCAGTCTTTGGCACATCATCCAGCTTAATCTTCACCTGGTGGTAGCCAGATCGAAGATCAATCTTAGAAAATACCTGAGCACCCTTGAGCTGGTCAAACAAGTCATCAATTCTAGGAAGGGGATACCGGTTCTTCACAGTCACCTTATTCAACTCCCGGTAATCAATGCATAGCCTCATGCTCCCATCCTTCTTCTTGACAAACAACACTGGAGCTCCCCAAGGTGATACACTAGGGCGTATAAACCCTTTCTCAAGGAGTTCCTCCAGCTGGACCTTTAACTCCTTCAATTCTGCAGGAGCCATACGGTATGGTGCTTTGGAAACGGGTCCGGTGTCAGGAACAAGGTCAATAGCAAATTCAACCTCTCTATCCGGAGGTAAACCTGGGAGATCCTCCGGAAATACATCCGGAAACTCATGCACCACCGGTATGTCTTCTAATCTCGATGTCACACTACTAGCATCAGTAACAGAGACTAGGAAGCCCTGGCAACCATTTATAAGATATTTCTGAGCCTGCAAGGCAGATACTAATACGGGTAGAGCAAAAGAACCACTGCCTTGAAAACTAAATTCTGGCTCACCAGGAATATTAAAAATTACCCATTTCCGATGACAGTCTATAGAGGCAAAGTGTTTAGACAGCCAATCCATCCCCAAAATGATATCAAAATCAGAGATGTCTAAAACAAACAAACTAGCACTCAACTGTCTACCATCAACATAAATATCCACAGTCCTACACACCTCCCTAGTAGTCATCACCCCTCCTAAAGGGGTGTCCACATGCAGTTCACAATCAAAGATATCAACAGGCAAAGCTCGTTTCAAAACCTAGGATCGAGCAATAAAAGAATGCGATGCACCCGAATCAAATAAAACATGCGCATAATCAGAGTTAACAGGCAAGGTACCCGTGATTACGTCGGTAGCCGCAGCTTCCTTGTGAGTCATCACTTGCACTCTCACCTGCTGGGCTCTTGTCTGAACCCCAGTACTCTGTTTCTACGCCCCCTGACTGGTAGAACTTTGCGGAGAGGTAGGCTGAGTACTTTGGGCCTTGGGGTCCAGCAGTGGACAATTTGCAATCCGGTGTCCCTGCTTGCCACATTTGAAGCAAGCCCCAGTAGCAGTGTGGCATTGATCCCGGGTGTGCCCGACCTTCCCACAAGCACGGCAAACAAGTTGAGTGGGACGAGCACGCTGGGCCGATGATGCCTGACTCACTGTCTTGGTGGCTCCTGACCATCTAGAGCCCTTGCTGATCTCAGACCTAGGCGGTGCAAGGAAAAGGGATCGACGGCTCCCCTCAAATTTCCTCTTCCCAAGGGATGACCCACCACTAGGCTGCCCTGAGGGCTTGACTCTAGCCATAGCCTTCTCCTGATCTATGGCTCTATCCGCAGCCTCTCGATAAGTGGCGGGTTTAAATTGGTTTACCGCCAAGTAAATGTCA